CTCTAAATTGTCTCTAGGTGTGAGTGAGAGAGTGAATGGTTGTTTGTCTCGTTTGTCTCTATGTGTCCCTGTGATGGACTTGCGACCCGTCCAGGGTGTACCCCGCCCCTCGCACATTGATTGCTGGACATGGGCATCGGCGACCCCCGTGACCCAAAATGGAAGAAGCGGGTGAAAGATAATGGATGGATGGATGGATGGATGGATGGATGGATATATATTTAGATCTCGGTAACAAAGCATCGTGCCTTTCAGGTTAGAGTTTTAAACTAAGATCTTCTTGTGTTGAGAACTGACACAGTTAAAGCTGTTTTGGTCGTCTTCTTCTTCTTCTTTCGGTTTTTCCCTTGAAAAGAAAATACGTAGAGTGTGATCTGTTGTTTGAAAATGTGTTGTGAAGGATGATAAGCTACGATAACACCAAAAGTTGAGCTCTTAATCTGCTAAATTTGCCATGATTTGATTGAACTGGGTAACTCTAAAATTTGTTCAGTTGTAGAGGTGAAGCCAGTGATGACTTTCTGGGAAATTCATTAAAATGCATCCAGTGGTTCATGAGATATTTTGCTAACAGAAAACAGAGTTGACTATAAGAGTTAATGTCAAAGAACTGAGCAAAGACTTGTTTAAAGCATGTTTAGTACGATGCTCAGCAAATGCCACACCAATTTCTAGTTGTTGTTTTTTTTTTAATATGCAGCAGTTTTTATGTTTTCTAAAGTCAGTTGGCTGTGGCGGCCATCTTGAATTCAGGTGAGTTCAAAAGAAAATTTTAGATGTCACCCTAATGATTACTTTCTCAAAGTTTCATAAAAATCTGTCAGCTTGGTAATGAGATATTTTGCTAACAAGTAAACAATGCTGAATCCATCAGTTAATGGAGAAGTGTTAAACACAGATCTTGTGCAATGAGTCAGAACTCGGACAAGTTGTGGAATAATCTCGGCTACTACCGCTCCAAAATTTAGCTCGACATCTCCCAAATTGCCTGTTATTCCCATTTTTGTGTTGTTTTTTTTTTTTTTCATTTTTATTTCAGTTGGCTGTGGCAGCCATCTTGAACTGTGTCGAGTCCAAAATGTAATTAATTGTAGATATTTATTCAACAATTATGTTCCGCAAATTTCACTATAATCCGTTCCGTGGTTCATGAGATATTCTGCAGTACAAACAAACAAGCAGACATGGTCAAAAACATGATTCCTCTTCTGTTTTGTGACGATCACAGGCAGCTGGATCTTAGGAGCAGTTTGATGTCCTGCATGTCCAAGTGTCATTACGAAAGCTGAAACTGAACTCCTCTAATCCTAAAATGTTCCTTATTTCTAGATTATGTTAAAAAAAAAAAAAAAAAAAAGCATCACTATACATATAATATTGGAAATATACTATGTAATGATTCTTGTGTTTTTACAGGGTTTTCAAAGGTCTTAAACAGTTCTGGATGTGTTCATCGGTCCAAGACTTTGACCTGTGTGTGTATCAGTGAGGGGCTTCCCTTACCCACAATCAGATGGCCTCTGCTGAAGAACCACACTGGTTACATGGTCATTACCACAGTGTCAAACAACACCATCAACAGCACTGTTTCTCTGAGCGTGGAAAACGGTGGCAACATGAGTGTTGAATGTTTCAGCAGCCATGAAAATGGGGAAGCAAAAGAAAACCTCACTGTTAAACACGACGTGGTGGAAAACCTAGGTATGCTTCAAGTTCAAACACTTCTGCTACATTTCACGAATGCTTTAACAAGTTGTTTTTTTATCTCATCTTACTGTGAACACCTTGGTTAGATGGTGAAAAGTTAAAGTGCATGAACTGCTAGTGTATTTTTTTTTTCCACTCTTAATAGTATCCAACAATCTTATGGGAACAGCTGCTAGGGTGGAAGTCGTCATTGCCTTTTTGATAGGAGTTCTACTTTCAGCCATCGTTTGTTGTTTGGGTAGCGCATGCAACAGGTAAGGTGTTGTATTTTTAACATAACTTTAAAGCTTTTTTTGTGAATAAACTCTGTGTGTATTTAATGTTTCCGTATGGTTTTTCGCTTGTGCAGAATGAAACAAAAGAAATCTGAACATTTGGACGAGACCCTGGAGATGATGAACAGTCAGGATCCATTGGTACTCGTGTTTTCTTCCCTAAAATATCAGAATAAAACCGGATTCTTCCTACTAACTCATGCACAGACGTGTACATGATAAATCTTCCTCTTATAAAACCTATCATTGGTATTGCTTAATTTAGTTTGGATTGGTTTGGTAAAAAACATTACAGCAATTTTCCCATTTTAGAAAGTGCTGGGGTAGCATTCAATTTGTGGTTTTGTTTGGGTTTGCAGTGCAGGTGTAAAAATGTAAAACTGCCTTAGATTATAAACTGGAAAGTTCCTGGAAAAATTTTGATGTGGACTGCCACACTTCTTCCAATTTAAATTTTATTCATGTGACCTTACTGTGGCGGTACGACAAGTGTTCTGTCAGGCGTTTTGTATGCAAATTACGTCACCGTGGTAACTCGAAACACCCGTAAAAATAACACACCATCACAGCGCTGAGCCGATCATTTTGATATAACGTATGTGGGGGTACATGTTGCGGTTCAGGCTGCATTAAAGTCACTGTAAGAGTAAAATATAAAGTTAAGAAACCCAAAGCCAGGTGGATAATAATAGGTGTTTGCCTTCATACTAGGCAGTCCTCATTGACAATAGACAAAAAAGCACTCATTAAAATTATTATTATTAGCCAATCCTCAACAAGGAAATCATCATTGAACACTAGCTGTTTGTGCCAAACATCAACGTTATTTTAGATTAATCAAAAAAGTAAAAATGGATGTGGTTGCATTTAGTGAGCATGAGCAGGTGCAAAAGATCATCATTTAAATGCTGCTTTGCACTTCCCCATCTTGCTTCTTTGCAATGTAGTTTTAACACTTGACTCTTGCACGGTAGAAATGTGTTGTGATGGAGCATTTCATTCATTTCAGCTGATTTTCAAACAGTCTCCTGATGTTTCCACTTCAAATAGGATTATATAGCCTGGAAAACTGCACAGTGACAGAAGAGATTTGTTAAATCCAACATATATTGTATTTGGTCTTTGCTCTGTATTAGATTTGTTGCAACTCCTCTCATGTTTTTTTTTTGTTTTTTTCACACAGCAGGTCTATGAACGTCAAACAGTTCAACACAATCAGACCAAAGACCAAGAAGGGACTGAGAATGGAGCTGTGGCTGCAGAGAAAGTGCTCCCTGAACCCAGCTGCAGTCCAAACGATGTGGAGTACGCCAGCATCGATTTCTCCAAGCTGAAGACGTGGATTTCCAGGAAGAAAGCAAAGGAGCTGGAGAGCATGGCGACAGAATATGCAGAAATTAAAATCGGGGTAAAAGAGGAAACAAAAGTTAACAAGGAAGTTGAGACGTTGGAGGGTAAAGAGGAGGAGCCGGTGATGGACGGTGAGGAGAAAACAAAAGATGGTTTAGATGAGCAGGGAGGTCAAGGGGAGGCGGTTTACTCCACTGTGAAGGACGTAATGGATGAGATCTGAGGACTGAGCTGCATTCTGCTCAGTTTCTCTCACCTCCTCAGGTTTTATACAACTGCTTCCATCATCCAGCAGCTTTGACCATTTCTGATAAACAATATTCAGTTCATCATTAACCATTTCAAACAGCAAATCAAACCTGTTGTGAACTGAAATGACACACTTCATACATCTGCTGTATGTATATTACTGTATAAATATGTACGTATGTTTAGATATGAGTATTTTTGCACTTCAGAATGTTATAATGTCTTCTTGAAGCTTAACAGAAAACAGTTTTGTCTCATTAGCAGTCATGTTTATGGCATAGCTTCCCAAAAAGACAATGTGTATTTTTATTGTATTTATGTTCTTTTAACATTAACAGTTTAACATAAACTTGTTCCAACAGCCTGGTGTTCATGGAAATGAGACTTATAGATGCTGATAAATTCAATTTTGGTTTAGTTTGAGTATATTCTTTATCTTCTATCTTAAACATTATCATGGTGCTCAAAGAAAAAGACTTTGGGCCTTCAGATGAATGAGCTGGATCAGTATTTCTCCTCATTTATTTTATTTTATTAAAACATTGAGGGGCTTTGAAAAAAACTATTTTTACCAACAACAAGGTGAATTTATAGTCCAAACCCATTTATCATGTTAAGTTAAATGTATTTAAGTGAAACAGAAATAAATATACTAAGAAGCGTTATTCCAAAGTGTAAAAAAAATACGTTTATCAGTGTCAACATTTTTTCCTACATCAGATTGCTGAGTTTTTGTTGTGTGCATATAAACCTGCTCTAGCTTTAAACCATTTGCACCAAATAACAAAACAAAAGTTTTGCAGATTGAAGGAACTGCATTTAACAACCGTCTTCTTATCTTAAATTAAACTGGACTAGTCAATTATCATGCATGACTGTATTTCATCTGTTTAAAGCATAGACTGATGATGGGAGGAAACAAAACAGTCTTTTCTAAAGGACATGCTGGTCTTTTGACAAACATCAGAAAATAGCCTGTGGGTGGTTTGATGCTAAGTCTAAAGTTGAAATGAGGAAGTGAAAAAAGGTGAGACAGTTTATTCAAACCTGGTAGAAACCGTTTGGTTCAAAGACTAAATTCAGACAAAGACTCAGTCACCTTTGTTCCTGCAAGAGTTTTTCACCGACATGCAGAGGACTGACATCTAAGGGGTCTTGCTTAAGGGCCCACAGTGGGATTAACAAGGGTGGAGACCAATGTGGGGGGTTTCTACTCCACCCAAATGTTTTGTGCTGTCTGGGGATTAAAATCTGCAAATTCCCAATTTCTTCCCCTTTTAAAATTGTCACAATAAACCCAACATTTTTCAGTCAGGACATCTGGACGGTTTCTTTTTTTGTGTGTTGAAACGTTTCACCTTCCATCCGGAGGGCTTCATCAGGAGGAAGAGGGCTGGCACTGGAGGAGGGGGTGTGCCAAAGAGACCATCTTGGCACCAACATAACTGGTTTGTTCCACTTTGGAGTAAGCTGTTGGGGGAAGAATCAGTTTTGTGTTGTGTGTTTCCTTGACTGATGAAGCCTTCTGGATGGAAGGTGAAACGTTTCAGCACACACAAAAAAAAAAACTGTCCAGACGACCTGACTGAAAAATGTTGGATAGTTTACCTGGATTATTGAGCATGGACTTTGTTGTCACGGTAAACATCTATTTGTATGTGACAAATACGTTCTTATATTTTGCAAACTTTGCACCGTCTAATAATCATGGTGTCAGGATCATTAGACAGAAAGTTATGTCACAAAAAAATATTAGGCAAAAGTATTGAACAAGAATATAACATTGCCATTTAAAGCAGTGTTTAGAGAATTATTAGCTCTGGAACCTCACTCATACTCTGTACATTAAACCAAACACGGTGGTAATCTCTCTGCTGAGATCACAAAGATTCTTTGGGTTAGGGTTAACTCTCAAGTGCATACCTCCACCTCTCCAAGTTCTCTTCCACCTGTTCCCTGCTCTCACCACAGATCACAATGTCATCTGCAAACATCAAAGTTCACAGGGATTCCTGCCTGACCTCATCTGTTATCTCTCCATCACTGAGGACCTCTGTGTGCAACATCAGATGTGCATGCTGTGGCCGCACACCAGTATCACACCTGTTTAAAACCTGGGATCATACAAGTTACATGGCTTATTAAAAGAATCAAATTACAGCAGCAATTCCCATAAGATTACTTTTAATATAAGTGATTTGGCCCAGTTCAAATGAAAAAGACAATAATCTTGTTGTTCATGAAATGTGTAGTATGTCATATGAGATTCCTGCTTTGGTCTGGGTGAGGGTCCAGTTGTGGACTGGGTAAGGGTCCTGCTCTGAAAGAAATGAGACATATACACCTTTCAGACATAACATTTTGTTCACATTGAAACATTCACATTTTGCACAATGACGTGTGCTGCAGCTTGTGATACAGTGTAAATTCCTGTAACCCTATGTCAGTAAAATATCTAATTACACAGTTTTTTTATTAACATGTCTACTACCCATAAATGATCTATTAGTAACAGCATTTAATGATTACTATCCATAAATAATAAAAATCTTAATCAGTGTCACTAGATATCCTGATGCATGCTCAACGTTTCTACATTTTTTTGTAGTTTTTTTTTTTTTTTTTTTTAATGTCCAGAGGACCAGATTTAACTTTTTTAGACAGTGTCACTAGAATATGCACAAATCTGACTTAACTTGGACCTTATTTTTCACGTCTGTCCTTCTCACCTCTCCAATGTTTGGACATTTGTCCAGGTCGATGGCTCCGTCTGCTTCTTGCTTTGACTTTATGTGCATCAGCTGGTGCCACTTCAAGATGATTTCTGGATGCTGTTTTGATGTGATTCATTAAACTAAATCTTCTTTCACAATGGCAGTGTCTGCTGATCCATAGTTGAAACTGATGTCTGAGCTCAAGGCGTCAATGTCAAATGCAGATCACTCCTTTAATTCATCCTCTGGAAAACGAACATCCATGTGATCACGGAGCTTACTAATAGAAAGTGCAATCTCACCAGTATTTCTGCAATCAGCTGATCAAGTCCCCATTGCCTCTTTGACACGGTCACTCCACTGTACATCCAAAAATCACTTCTTACTTTAGCTTCGCTGCATGTTTTGCAGAGAACTTTCTCGTGAAAAATAACAAATCCCACCCAGTGTCAGTGTTTGTTCTTCTGTTTGCACATACTCAGTCATTCCATGTTAAAAGAGCCACATTTATTTGTTACTTTGGCTTGATGAATGGATGAAACTCACGTTCTGTTAGTGTTGAAACTAAAAGGCATTACATTTTTATCGTCCATCTCAGGCTCAGCACACACAGACACATCTAAACTCGTACACACTGTCAGTTTTAAACACTTAAACTAAACTGCATGTCTCTGAACTGTTAGCTAAAAATATTTGTAGAGAGCAGGCAAACTCCACACCTACCTGCAGAGGTGAGAATACACCAGGAAACCTAAATACAACGTGTGCTATTTTCATTGCAACGATAGCATGTTGGTTTTAGAGAGAAACTAGTGTGCAGTGATGTGAGAAGAAACTTCCTGGAACTTGTAATGAAAAAGTAGAAAAGGAAAGAGGCAGAGAACAGTCTGTTCAGAGCTGAAATGCTGAGCAGACTCCTGTGAGAGGGAACCAGCAGAAGATTTTATGAAAGAAAGGTAAGAGTTGATAGAACATAAAATTATGGCTATAAAAAAAAAATTAATGCGTTTATTTCAAAATAATCTTACTTTAAACTAAAAGTGTACATTTCATTGGCCATCTCTGAATTGGGTGTTTTTACAAGTTTATAAAAAGATAAGTAATATGTTCATTAATGTACCACTTTTTAATTAAATAGATTAAAATGTTTAAATATTCTGTGAATATAGAAATATTAAGAGTGTTTTGAGAAATCTGATTGGTTTTATTACTTTAGCTCCAGGCTCAGTCAGCAGCTGCAACCTGTATTTAAATCTGTGATTCCAACCATGAAGGTGTTTCTGAACTGGGTCCAGTCAGAATATTTTATGTGTTTACTTCACTTTTTGTGCATTTTCAGTTTCAAAAAAGAAAATAATTTTTTCATTTCATTGTATTTTTTGCAGTCTCTGTCATCCAGTCAAAATGTTTCCTCTGGTTTTGTTTATGCTACTTTTTGCTGTCCCAGGTAAAGAAAACATATTTGTTCAAATACTTTGTTTATATATATATATATATGTATATGTATATATATGTATATATGTATATGTATATATAT